TTCCTAAGGTAGGGTTGAGGACAAGGTAGGGTTGAGGGTCCTAGTTCATTGAAAAAATAGGGTTGAGGATGGACTCCACCCACAGCCCTAGACTTGCGCTAAGTACCTATCGCAATCCTAACGTTATCCTCAGGCTAAGCCTAGAGTTCGACCTACGTTAGGGTTGAGGGTCCGCATCCGTTCCTAAGGTAGGGTTGAGGGTCCGTGTCCGTTCCTAAGTTAGGGTGGAGGGTCCTGGTTCATTGAAAAAATAGGGTTGAGGATGGACTCCACCCACAGCCCTAGACTTGCGCTAAACACCTATTGACAATCCTAGGGTTATCCTCAGGCTAAGTCTAGAATTAGACCTAAGGTAGGGTCGACGGTCTATATCTGTTCCCCAGGTAGGGTTGAGGGTATCCGTTCATCAAAAGAATAGGGTTCAGGATTTAGGTTTATTCGTACGGTAGAGGTTACAACTTACAAGTTCGTTTAAGACCGTTAAAATGACCCTGGCAAATAAAACTTCCATTTTATGCTATTAAAAAAAGAAAGATTTAACTTTATTACAATTGTTTTCTCGTCGAGGGGGGTGAAAGCATGACAACAGAGTTGAGACAAACATCTCATAATGATGCACAGCCAATGACAAACAACTCCACAACTTTTCGCAAAACGGAACTAAACAGTGCAAGTTACGATTCCATTCACAACAAAAACCCCCGTTGGTGTTTATCCTATATACTTTGACTATCGTTGAAAATAGCCTCCGAAGTTACACCTAACTATGCCAACTATTCACATTCACAACTAACTCGCTATACTTAGTATACTATATATTTGGAAACAATCGCTGCAAATCGCAGTCGCACGAGTCTATGCAGAATCTTGCCATCCATTGGATTTTGACAAACATTTGGCATCGGCAGTTTTTTCCTAAATTTTCCTGAGCCCCTTTAATAGTTCTCAGATTGTTCTTAGCCGAAGCCAGGTAATGGCCCTGGTATTTCAAATCACTTGTATAATTCCATATGGGACGCTGGGCCCGGTGTCGAGTGCATCGGACGAGCGAGGGCCCTCTCGGCCGCGTCACGCAGGAGAAACTTAGGCTTTCAACTTTTTTAGAGACAACTCAAGGACGACACGGTAACCCGCGTCGACCCTTCGCCGCTCCGGCCGAGTGCGCCAGCTGTACATCCCGCAGTCCCCTACGACAGGATAGGTTYYCGCGGGGCACAACTTACCTTCCCTAAGGGGCTGTCACCACCCTTAGGGGCGTATCCCCGCCGAGCTACCGACCCACATGCGAAGGCTTTTATTTTGCAATTGCAGAGGTAGGCCGGCCGAGGGCGTTTGCTCGTTCGCTGTAGCATAGGTACGCGTGGTTAAACGCCAAAGTGGATCCGGACGTCGTCCGTCCTTGGGGCGCTGATCTCCCAGGAATCAGAACGTACGCCGGTCGACTAGGACGTGATATTCCAAGCTTGAGAAAGTCTCGATCAATCCGAGTCCCTCCTTTCAAAGACAATCAAAACTTAAACAGGCAAAACACTTTCATGAGACGATTCAGGTCTACGTAAATTGACTTATCCTCTAAAATCAACCTACATATATTACAATCAGGCATATGACAAAGTTGACTTGTCTCCAAACAACACTTATGGATAAAATATCCAAGTATGACCTATACACAATGCGACGCTTATATGACGTCTGACTAAAGTACCTCCACTCTACCTGCCAGACGACTAACCTGTCACGACTTTCGTCTTGATGAGATGCGTTGCTAAGTTCTTTCATTCCACCGCATGCTGACTGCAAGCAAAAAAATGCGGACATCCCAACCCTCAAGTAGAGTTAGGATCACACTGTTCTAGCGATGACATCACTACCTTTCTAAGTTTGGTGTGAATGTCATTTGCGAGTAGTCCGGCTACCACTATACGAGTCAGTATTCGACTTGAATGACCGAACGTTGAATGCCTCATTAAGGTCAAGGATCCATTTTCAAATTTTGTTGGTCGCTTTGTCCTCCTGAGCAATGACTACTCCTTCTGTCTCACGAATGATGAAATACCAGTCTGCGATATAAAGCTATTCAAGGCAATGCTTTAGTTACATTTTTTTCGTCAACTAGTCTGATCGTCCCAGTCTTGCACTTCTTATGGTGCAACCCTATCCGCGAAGGTAGTGCCTCGTCGCACTCCGTCCATAGCTAGTGATCGCACGAACTGGGCTTCTTATGATGCCAACTCCTCACTCATCTGTGGCTCCTAAGACGGCCACTAGAAGGGTAAACTATAGCGGTTCTTCTTAACGTGAGCCGTCAAGAACTTAACGCCTTCCGTGAATAGCACACGTCCATCCCCTAGGAGGTGGTCTGGGATACCCCTCGTCCTCCCCCGAGCGAACCTCGGATCTCAGAAGTCGGGCTGGCTCCACCACGACAGCATGGTATCCCCCCGCCTAAGCGGTCCACTCCGAGTCCTTAACAGGGTCAGCCCCTAAGGCAACGAACCCCCGCCTCGGATGCCTCCTAGGGAAAGGAAATGCACTTACCACAACAGACGGTCAGCCCCTTTCCGCCTGACGTCACAGAGAAAAAAACCATTCAGATGGACGGGCATAGACAAAGAGGATCATTCGGGAAAGAATGGGTAACCTCTATGTCCAATTCACTTCTTCTCTTTTGTGTGATCGCTCCGTTCCTCGTCGTCTGCCGTCTTCCCACCCTTTCAACATGCATGCAAGCAAAAAATAGAAAACAATCATCATTCCATTCACTTTCACTGACATTATTAAACCTTCATTTTTCAAGCATCCTTCTACTTACCTGCACATCAAATCAAACAACAAGTTCAAAAGAAAACAATGCAGTCCCAAACTCATGTCAGACTTTCATTCACACGTGCGAACAAAACACAGTTTCCTCTACCTTTTCAGTGAACGTTCAAAGAACAGGGTCAAGCAAGTGTGGGTTCACACAGGCGTGAAGGGAAATCTGAGTCATTCAACTGACCTTGAGTGAAGTTGAGATGGACGCGGCTCACTCAAGAAAACCGCGTAAGATCACGCTCCAGACGAGACAAACGTCACAACATCCGTCAACAAAGCGATCCACACCACTCCCTCAAATGGACCGCCCACTGACACACAATCCCCTCAGTGTCTCAACATCGTCCCCACTCGCGACCAGTACCACTATGCCACCACTGTGTCGAAGCGTCGCCGCCGCAATATGCGGACAGCACAACGTCAACACCACCTCAAAGCACACTCCCTCTCAATGACGCTCCTCAAAATTCTCATTGCCGCCGCGAAGACCGGACAACATCTCCACACCACTGCTAAAAAAACTGCTGCTGCCGCAAAATTTCGGCAGCACTTTCGCGTCACCGCTAAAAAAGTACAGCGCTTCCGCGTCACCGCCGAAAAAACATAGCCGCCGCCGCAAAATCTCGGCAGCGCTTCCGCGTCACCGCCGAAAAAGCATAGCCGCCGCCGCAAAATTTCGGCAGAGCTTCCGCGTCACCGCCGAAAAAGCATAGCCGCCGCCGCAAAATTTCGGCAGGGCTTCCGCGTCACCGCCGAAAAAGCATAGCCGCCGCCGCAAAATTTCGGCAGCGCTTTCGCACCACCTGCCAAAAAGAACAGCTGCCGCCGCAAAATTTCGGCAATCCTTCCACACTACCGCTGATAACCTTGCTGTCATGGCTGTACCGAGCGAACAGCACCTCCCCTGCGCTCCACCAAGTGCAGCGGCAACTATGGCTGCCCTCACTCTCATGCTCCCCGCAGACCTCCAATACTTCTTTCTCTCTCCTCACCTCGCTGAGATGGCGGCTATGGCTGTGGTCCACAACTATGGCCACCTCCAGCAGTCCCGCCCTCTTTCTCTTGCAGACCTCCACTCAGCTCCCTCTCACTCCACCAGCAGTTCCTCCTCCAGCTGCCAGCACTCACTCAAGCGTAATGCCAGCAGCACCAGCCACAAATGAATTGTTTTATAGCTAGCTGGAGGCTCAGGGCAGCTTCTTTGCCCCCAGCCAAAACTCGGAGTGAGGCCTGGCCCTTGATCTCAGACGAGATCAAGGGCTCCCCTAGGGGAATTGAGTTCAGGTCACTGGAAATGTATCTGGCCCTCACCCGCGGCCAGACGCAGCCCAGAAATGGCTGTACTTAGCCATTTCTTAGCAGACTCTTGAACCCAATCGTCTGCTGTGAATTCATAGTCCAGATGCTTCTAAACTTGCATCTGGACCGAGGCCGCGGCTAGATCCACGGCCGTTTTTTTTTTTTCCAACTTTTTTTTTTTCTTTTTCCCCCTTGTTTTTCTAAGCAGGGGCAGCTCGTCGTTCGAAAAACGAACGAGCACGTCCCTCTCCCAAGTCATATCACAGAGTCGAACTAGAGTCGAGCTCAACAGGGTCTTCTTGCCTACTGCCCCCACGCGCCCGTACCCGGACGCCTACGACGCCAGGTGTAGGCGGTGGTCAGCAGCCCGTTCACAACGAACAGACGCAGACCTTTGGCTGTAAGGCCAAACTGGGGCGGCGTATATTTCCATATTCTAGTAGAAGATTCACTCGATTTGCTTGTCCTGCTCAAACTGTCGGGCCGCAGCCCCCTGACGAGTCGGTGGAAATCCGACGAAACAGTCTGGCACAGTCATACTTTTTTTTTTTTTTTTTCTCTCTCTCTGAACACAGCCGCGTCTCTGCGGCAGATTCGGTCGGATTGACCGACTGTCGAGGCCCATCCTCCTGATGAGTCGGTGAGACTCCGACGAAACAGTCGGTTCCGAATTGCCTGTCCGTTCAAAACAGACGGGCACTCACTAAAAACACAAAAAGGAAAAAAAAATAAAAAAAAATCTTAATAAAATCCTAGACGAGAATCTAGAAGAACAAATCTAAAGAAAATATGAAAAAAAACAAAGGGAAAAAAAAATCAGAAAAAAAAAAAGAAGAATGAAAAAAAAAATAATAAAAAATAATAATAAAAAAAAAATTAAAAAAAAAATACCTCACTTTCAAAACGGTCGCCTGTTTTCAGGTGACATCGAGTGCACTGGGACTCAAAATGTCCCAGGCACTTCTTCCAGCGCCACCTGGCGCTTCGTTTTTACTTAATTTTAGTTGTTTTTTTTTTTTTGCATTCCCTTTCCCGTTGGCCTGAGCCAACGGGCAAATCGCGACTCGTGGTTTTTCAGCCATGTACAGTAAAACCCCCAAGGACGTGGTCCCACTAGCAAAGAGAATCGGACCGAATGCCCGAATCTGGACGATGTAACGAAGATGTACAGGAAATCGAGATTGAACTACTTTTCCGCATCTCTGCCTAAAACACATCCTGATTCAGGAGCTCGATCCTACTCTTTTTGCTAGTGGGTCCTCAGCCCTGAGGAACCCTCGTTCGTTTTTTTTTTTTTTTTTTTCTAAAAATAAAAATTAGAAAAAAAACGTAAAAATATTGGACCACTTCTCGATTTATGCGTGTCATCCATACGCAGGGCCATGCTACCTCGCGCGGCCGATCGCAGCCGTGCGATCGTGATGATCGCGTGGTCGAAATCGACCGCGCCCGATTGCCTGGGCTGCTCCCAAAAGGAGATTCACCCAGTAGGCCGGTATATGGGGTTCGATCCAGGTATCTGCCGGGTAACAGTCTTCTGCCGTAACCTACTGGGCTAGCTCCTATCACGACAGTGAGAGGAGCAGCTCTTTTATAAGAAGAGCTAGCCCAGCTGCCACTCCTCGAGACGGGGCTTAGCAGGCCCCGCCCGCCTATGGCCTTGCAGGCCCTGCAGGCCCTGCTTGCCTGCCTGTGGCCTCGCGGCCCAATTTGCCTGCTTGTCTCTGGCCCAGCCGGCCCCGCCAACTCACGGCCTTGCACGCTCAGTTGGCCGCGTGACCTTGGCACCGGCCTACCAACCCCCTGGCTCGGCGTCAAGCCCGCAGTAGACTAGATCTAACTTTAGTTTTTCCATGACTGCACACTACTGCGGCCTCGTCGAGAACTGTGGACGACAGTGCCGACTCCCGCTGCCTCGAACGGATGTCGATGTCGTCACACGTCTAGGACGTCAGGTTTTAGGTCTCTCAATTATAGGGTTGGTCTGACTAACTTTGGCAACGTCCATCTCATCAAGTTCCTTAATCCAAAAATCGGACAGCGTCTGACCTTGAAAAACTCGTGCAGAAACCCTCACAGGGGTTTCTGTCCCGACAACCTTCCCCGCCCCCATTAAGCGACGTCCCCGTCGCTTGCCGTAGGGCAATACAAGGCGGGGTCTTTACCAAATAATTACAATACGTCTAGAATTAACCCAGATTTTATATACTTATACGGAATGAGCGACGTTTCCGTCGTTCATCTTCCCTTCCTTTCATAACCTTCCGGACATTCTTTATGAAATACTCCGTGTAGACTCCATTACCGCCAACGAGAAGGGCTTACTTTCAAGCCTTTAGCACAGAGGCTTACTTTCAAGCCTTTAGCACAGAGGCTTACTTTCAAGCCTTATAATTTTTTTGAACCTTCCTTCGAAAGCACTTTCATTTAGTCACTAGTTGGAACGGGGCCAAAAATAACCTCTGGCGGCCTTTCCCCGGAATCTGGAATCCACTGTTGGCCTTACCCAACCTGAGGAATTACAAGAACATTTTAGAAGAATGATCCCAACATCATCCCACTGGCGGCCACTCATGCTTCCTTTTGTCTCTCATAGATGGGTCAGGCTTATCCCCCTCATGGGACTCTCTTCAGGCTATAACCCCCTGTCTAGGTCTCGTCAGGCTTAACCCCCTGCGGGTCTTTCATCACTATAGCACACACTGCCAAGAATTTAACCTAGGTCTCTCATGTTCATGGGGATGCATTCCTAACACCTCAGCATGTCTCTCGCTCCCAAGAGTTTAATTCGGGCTCCCTGCGAAACACAAGGATACTCACACTATACTACAGCATGTGTCGGCACCATCACAGAGAGAAATCACCCTTTTCAAAAGTCCTAGTCCAGTCCGGCTAGTTCCCACTCCAACTTAATTGTCATGCACGATTTATCTCCTACATGTATTGTGAATGCGTCGAGGAGTGGTGTAATCCATAGAGGATAACATCTCGACGTCAAGCCCCGCTTTAGACTCGAGCCTCACCACCTTCCCTCCGATTTCAGTGTCATACATCCGTTAGTACCTTACCTGCAAGGTTGAACTACCCCTCCCTTATGACCCAAGCTGATCAGACCCAGCCATAAAGTCGGGGCGACCCCATTCACCACAAAAGAAAAGGTGATCAATCTTTCCCTCATGGCGAACGGTAATCGCCACCCTCACAAGCAAGGTTCCAACAAACATATTATCACCTTCCTCCCTTTCGACGATAGTGTAGTCACTCTCCTCAAAAGGAAAGACAACAACATCCCGCTATGGACCAGGAACAAAGTTCCGGTGCAGGCCTCACCACCGTCTACGGGGCTCACAACATTAGGATTCCTCACTTTATGATAATCAAAACAATACCAAGTCATAAGGCGTGACGAGCAATCGAATCACATGTCCGACGAATAACATGTGTTAAGTCAGGCATACGACCCAAGTACAGATCATCTCCTTAGACTTGTACTTACAATTCTCGCATTTATAACCACATACACGGAGTTTCATAGGAATTCCAGGTTTTTCAGTCTTTCACATATGTGATGAATACTTCAACAATATGAGCATCCATCAACTATTTCACAATATACTTCTCGCAATGAATATCCACTCGTGATAAGAATCTCACAAGGCCCTTTGGTATCACTCTTTTACTTCACAACCTGTATCCAATACCTCTTATGCATAGAGACAGTTGTGAGAAAAATATCATAGTCATTTTACAATTGTCTATGGCAGTAAGGCACAAATCCATTATTACAAAATAACAGGAGTCACAATCTCATTGATAACCTTTCAATTTCAATACTTTTATTAATACTTTACAATTTTCTTGGTTAGCCTAAGACAAATGTCACAACCAACTGAACCACAATACAAAAGCAAGAAAGTTACTAAAATTGATGCCACCAACCACCTCCTCTACCCTTCCTTTCTAAAAGTTTTCACTAAACTCTTGGGATAAACTTCCGTAAATGTGCACCCGATACCCAATTCCTACCCCGAGATTCATCCAACTCTTCTATTTCGTATGCCCCATGTTCTGTTTTCCTAGTGATCCGATATGGTCCCAGCCACCTACTGTCTAGCTTTCTGGACCACTGTTTTTCTTGCAACATATCATACAACAAGACGATGTCTCCCACTTCCAACGGCTCTTTTCGTACACGTGGCCTCTTGTCCCATCTTTCCTTGTCAGCCTGACTGCTTTCAGAAACAGAGACATCCGTATCCTCAATCCGTTCTTCAGTCGCCATGATCTGTCTTGCCCTCAATTCCAATAACTTTTCCGTTGAAAGTTTCATTTCCACATCCTGTTTTTGCCAAGTGGTCAGGAAACTCTCAATTGGAAAAGTCGCATGCCGTCCAAGCCATAATGTGACGGGGGCATACCCGGTTGTTCGCTTGATGGTAACATTCTCAACGAAAAAAACTGCCCTCAAATAAATCGGTCATCTTGATGGTTCCCCCTTGCACCATTTAGCCAACAAGTTAGACAAGGTGGCATGTCCTCGTTCCATGGGTGCATTGGCCTGGAGATGCACTCTCGTCGTATAACTGAAACTTACCCCAAGTCTCTTCAAAAGCGTTTGCACCTCCCTTGCTCGAAACTCGCCTCCTCGATCCGTAACAATCTCTTGAATAAATGGATAACGGAGGTAATATTCCACAATGCACTCCGCCAAGACTGGCCTAGTATGCTCGCGAATGACACGACCATCAACGAACCCAGTCAAATTGTCCCGTGCATCAAAGATATACCTATAGCCATTTATACCAGGTGGCATTACCAGAAGATCCAAATGCACCACCACACCTGGTTCTGCCACATAACGTGGATTTAGGGGCTCAAGGTAGCGGATATTAGATCTCTGTTGGCAAGGGAAACGAGATTTACAGAAGTCAATCACCATCTTGCTCATCCCTTCCTAGAAATAAAGACGTTGGATCTTGTTCAGGGTTACCCACGCAGACCTGTGCCCGCCGGCTACCCCATCATGCAAGGCACCGATCACATCCAACTGTCGAGAGGTTCCGCATACCACCCTCTTGGGGACACCATCAGCAGCTTTCTTAAAGAGATGACCATCACGAACAACAAATCCTTTGCTCTTTTCCCGCACAACCGAATCAACCTCGCTTTCGTTCAATTCCCCATTCAACCACATGCCTATCTCTTTATACTCCCCTTGGTACTCTTTTTCCTTAAACGCTTCTTTGACCTCACTGCCTCCTTCCTCCGCATTCATTAACCTCAGGCGATCCTCATGAACCAACAAGTTCGCGATATATGACATCCTTCCAACGGTCTGGAAAGCGTCATCAGCCTGCGTATGACCTTGTTCAATTGTTAGCGGATCAAGCATAAGGCCGATGTCATCTGTCAAAGTCAGCCTCATCATTTCCTCTGCAGTCTGCTCGCCCCATGGGTCCTCCTCAATGAAAGGTTCCTCCATCACGAGTTCTGGACGTACCTCGTGAAAGGCAGGAGCATTCCATATCGATTTCTCATGTCGAGTGGCCGCATCTGTCAGGTAGGTAAGATAGTTAATACTCAATCGCGACTCATCTTCTTTCAAAAAGGCATCGACCGGAACTGATTCTTCCGCCTGATCCGTCTCTGGGTCCCATTCAACATGACTCAGCCCATCAGCACGATTCTGACTTTCCGAAATCCGCTCAATTTCGAAGTCAAACATCCAAATATAAGTCAACCATTATGCAATGGTGGGATCAGCAGGTGAATAATTCCTTAAGGATTGAGCCAATGCAGTCGGATTCACCCGCAGGATGAAGCGTCTACCGAACACATAATTCCGAAAGATACGGAAACAGTGAAGCGCGGCCAAAGTTTTCTTTTTGAACTGGGAATAGTTCCTCTCAGCAACATTCAGATTCCTACTCTCAAATTTGAGAGGTCTTTCCTGCCCCTCAGCATCCTTCTGAATTAAGACCCCTCCCAGGGTTGTGGGCCCCGCATCAGTCTCAATAACAAAAGGATGTTTTTCGTCATCGTCGAAAAAAGAAACTCCAAGGATGAAACCGCCCTCACGGAACTCAGTCTTGATATCTTCCACGGCCTCTTGTTGCTTCGGACCCCATTCCCACTTCTGGCCTTTGCGTACAAGCTTTCGCAAGTGCTCCACTCGAGCGGCAAACCTGCGGATGAAGATGCGCCAAAATCCACAGGTTTCGAGGAAACTTCGCACATCTGTGATCGACTTAAAAGGGGTCAGCCATTCCAAGATTTTATTAGTCTTCTTCGCATCCGGCCGGCGACCTTTCTCGTCGCAAAGGAATCCCAAGATCACTGCTCTCTTCATACAATGTCGAAACTTAATCCCACTAGCTGTGAGATTAAACTCCTTCAATCTCTTAAGGATTTTCACCACATCATTGATGTGCTCCCAGACAAAGCGGCGAATGGCCGGCAACACCTCCGTCAGGTCCTTCGTACAAAATCTTGGAATAGCCAAGTCGTCAATACGTTGAATTTATGTCAGGACAATAAGGCTGCATAACTCTCGTCATATATCTCTGAACAATGGCGACTGCATTCGGCCACCCCTGCGACGCCACACACATATGGATCAATCCACGAGGACTATGCATCGCCATCTTGGGCCGATCCGCAGTGTAAATGGGGAACTGATCATACCCGGAATATAAATCAATGAGGGTGATGATAGACCTCCCTGCACAAGACTCCGACAATAGGTCTGCATGTGGGAGTCCACCTGCATCTCGTACTGTCACCGAATTCAGCTTTTGAAGGTCCTGAATCCATCGCCGAGTACCATTCGGTTTGATGAAACAGAACCATGGAGATGCATATGGCCCGTAAGAATAATCTGCAACCTTTGTCCGGATCTTTCCATCAAGATACGCGACCACCTTACGGTGACCCTCCGGATTCGGATAACGTGGCCCTCTTACATTCCATGGCTCGTGTGGTACAGTATGAACTCTGATTTTCGGGATTTTATCGACATCCAACCTTCCTCACTCATTATCATCGAACACATAGGAGAGATGTTCCTCCCTCAATATGTCGATGATATACCTTTTTTCCTGCTCAGTGAGGAGGTCCTCCTCCCAAATGATCATACTTTCCACTCTTTCTTTGGTTAACCGACATGGCCCCTTTTCACCTCTTTCTTTCATTTCTCTGATCCACTCGCGCTCCTCACGATAATAGACTTCCTCCTCTTGAGTGATCAGCACAGGTACCGGCTTCGCCTTCACGCCTACTTTCTTGTACTTACTTTTGGCGCTGGTGTCAAGCCTGCGTCCTCTAAAAAAGGACCCTGTCGAGTGGAGGGCAATTCCTGATCTTCTCCCTTATTCCCCTCCGACGGGGAATAAACAAGGCGCATAGTTTCTGCGCTTCCGGTGTCCGTGATGATCTCCGTCAACGCTTGCACCACATTTGGATCAATCGCCGCATGTGTCGACACGAAATCGATTGCCTGCCCAATATCACGCAGGGTCAGCGAGAACTCACGAGGATTCGGCTCCTCCCCTAGTGATTCCTTCTCCCTTCTCAACTTTTCTAACTCCAGGAAAGTATACGATTTCGGATTCAGCCGGTTCCGTGAGCAATAGGGTCCAGTGTTCGCACACTTGACCACCTCGTAGTAACCACAGACAGGATCACAAAGGATTACAAACATGGTTCCATCATGCTTGTTAATGATGATGCTTTCCGACCGACATAGGAATGCCCTTCCCAGAAGCACCTCGTGTTCCACTCTAGGTAACACGTAAAAATAAAAGCGGACTTTGACCTTTCCGACCGTGACGAGGACGTCACTAGCTTTCCCGCAGAATGGGGTCGATCCGCTAGCGCCCACCAGAAACCCATAGTCATCTCGGTTGATCTTCAACCCGGCTTCGATGGCATGGTGCTCGCGAATGATGTTCATCTCTGCTCCATCATCCACAAGTGCCGAGTACTCCTGCTGTCCAATCTGGACCTTCATATGGCCGGTTGACACACTTCGCCAATCCATCTTCGTCCCAGGCGGGGACCAGTTAGCCTCCGGCGGAATGACTTCGCCGAGCTCAACAGTCATGACTCTCTTACGAGTCATCAGCTGTTTAAACTCCTCTCGAATCTTCGGCGATACCGCCAAAATTTCCTTCAGCATGACCAAGTCGCGCTGACTTTCCAGAATCTTATTGACGAGTTGCTCGATATCGACCCCCTGCTCCACGGGGATCGAATAAATGTTCTTCTTCTTTCGTGGCTCCTCCTCGTTTACTTCGGCCTTCCCTTTCTCCGGCTCCCTTTCCAATGCACGACGATGAGCCCGTTCTTCCTCTTCGGCCCGCAACTTCTCATCCTCGTTATCCTCATCGTTCTCACTAACGGGGATAGGCTCTTCTTCCATTGCCTTTTCAGACTCTCTTTCCTTCAGAAGCTGCTCGTTTCGTCGTCGCATCCGAGTCTAAACGGCTACAGTCGGAGCACTCCTCTTTAGCGCGGACCTAGGTCGCATCGTGCTTACCATTGGCCCAGTTTGTGATGCTTCTCTCGGAGCAGACGTCCCTGCTTGGCCAGACGCATCTTCCCTTTTATCACCCCATTCGCCGAAGAGAAAGACATTCGGCAACCCCGGCTAGACTTCCTCCATGTCCACGCAAAGTCGGATAATAGAGTCCCGGCATCGGGCAAGCCGCCTTGTGATGGTTTGCGCTCATTCCACCACTTGTTCCCTAAACCCTCCTGGTTCCGCCGACGAGTCGTCAATATGTAACGACGCCATGGCCTCCTCGACCCCGGCCAACCGCGCTTCTTCGGGAGAGCAATCCAGAACGTCGCCGGCAGCGGACGACCCATTCGGCGAAACGCCTCCTTCCTCATACCCCCTTCAATGTTGGGGTCGATCAGGTTCCCTTCGTAATCAAAGATTTCACCTCGTATCGTGGTGAAGACAATTCCTTCCTTCTCATCTCTTGAAAGGAGTTGGCAAAACCGCATAATATGTCTCTTTTCTGCGCAATAGTTACATGTGGCTTCCTGCTGCCACGCCCAACGGTTTTGTTGTCCGTTCCCACGGCCTCGACCGCGGCCTCTTCCACCCTGCGGTTGAAACTGCCCTTGATCTTGAGAACTTTGTCCTGACGAACCACCGCTAGCACCACCATTCCCTCCTTGATTATTTTGTCCACCATTCTTCCCCTGTTTACGGGAGGTCCCCTGTCCGCCTCGAATTTGATTCAAGACCTTCCTCTCCGCCTTTGTCAACTTGCGAGGCGGCACCTTTTCCTCATCGCTCTCACTGTCGCTTTCTTCTTTCGCCGGCTCTTTCCCCTTCCTCTTACTATTTTTCTCTTTGCCCAACATGACTTGAAACTTCAGCCTTTCCGCTTTCATGCCGTCCATCATTTCTCTCATGCAGGTCAAAGTTTTGTAAATCTCACCGTCCTTCACCTCTCCCAGCTTCACCTTTTCCCGTTCCTCCTTTTGTTGCCTCAACAGCCGGTAGAGGATATCGTCGAACTTCCCCACCAGCACATTTTGCCGGACCTTAGTCCAGTCATACCTCCCTTGCATCCCTTCAACCAATTTCGATTGTTCGACGTCGTTGAAGTTATCAAGGAAAATAAGGCAGTGATTTTTCTCGGACAGATCTAGGATTAGGCGAGCCACACGCTCAAATTCCGATAAAAACTGTTTGGTAGTACCAAACTTTTTACGATCCACCGCCCTCAAATCCTGCAGGTCGAGCAATCGGTCACTGAGCTGGTACTTCTCCAACAACCGCGCCTTAAAATCTGACCAATCATGAGAGATTCGCACCAGCTCATCGATCTCGTCTCGGTACCCCACCTGACAATATTTTTTAACCATGCGAAGCATCTTCTCATCTGCCCATTCGTTGCTATATCCCAATTGCTCGAACTTGTCTGCCCAAGAAGAGGCATGATTCCCGTCGAACAACGGAACATCAATCTTAGGGTAGAGCTCTCGCTGCGACTGCCGGATGACCCGTGCCAGTTCTTGAATGTCATTCCTCCCATCGTCGTCGTTGTCGCGACGTCCTGCGGCACCGACCATCTAGGGACCAAAACATAAACCCAAAAAATCAGTCCCCGAGTTTGGTAGCATCTATTAAGGTTCCTTCCTCACACTTATAGAGGTCCAGAGATTACTAACCTTTTGTCTTAGACAACCATTACGACATGATATTTTACTTGCTCCATTCCCAAGTCTCGTTCCACCAGGGACAACGGTAGTTTGTCGTTATCCCCGGCAACGGCGCCACCTGTCGAGCGCATCGGCCCCCGCGCGAGTGAGGGCCCTCCCGGCCGCGTCACGCAGGAGAAACTTAGGCTTTCAACTTTTTTAGAGACAACTCGGGGACGACACGGTAACCCGCGTCGACCCTTCGCCGCTCCAGCCAAGTGCGCCAGCTGTACATCCCGCGGTCCCCTACAACAGGATAGGTTTTCGCGGGGCACAACTTACCTTCCCTAAGGGGCTGTCACCACCCTTAGGGGCGTATCCCCGCCGAGCTACCGACCAACATGCGAAGACTTTTATTTTGCAATTGCAGAGGTAGGCCGGCCGAGGGCGTTTGCTCATTCGCTGTAGCATAGGTACACATGGTTAAACGCCAAAGTGGACTCGGACGTCGTCCGTCCCTGGGGCGCTGATCTCCCAGGAATCAGAACGTACGCCGGTCAACTAGGACGTGATATTCCAAGCGTGAGAAAGTCTCGATCAATCCTAGTCCCTCCTTTCAAAGACAATCAAAAGTTAAACAGGCAAAACGCTTTCATGAGACGATTCAGGTCTACGTAAATTGACTTATCCTCTAAAATCAACCTACATATAATACAATCATGCATATGACAAAGTTGACTTGTCTCCAAACAACACTTATGGATAAAATATCCAAGCATGACCTATACACAATGCGACGCTTAGATGACGTCTGACTAAAGTACCTCCACTCTACCTGCCAGACGACTAACCTGTCACAACTTTCGTCTTGATGAGATGCGTTGCTAAGTTCTTTCATTCCACCGCATGCTGACTGCAAGCAAAGAAATCCGGACATCCCAACCCTCAAGTAGAGTTAGGATCACACTGTTCTAGCGATGACATCACTACCTTTCTATGTTTGGTGTGAATGTCATTTGCGAGTAGTCCGGCTACCACTATACGAGTCAGTAGTCGAGTTGAACGCCCGAACGTTGAATGCCTCATTAAGGTCAAGGATCCATTTTCAAATTTTGGTGGTCGCTTTGTCCTCCTGAGCAATGACTACTTTTTCTGTCTCACGAATGATGAAATACCAGTCTGCGATATAAAGATATTCAAGGCAATGCTTTAGTTACATTTTTTTCGTCAACTAGTCTGATCGTCCCAGTCTTGCACTTCTTATGGTGCAACCCTATCCGCGAAGGTAGTGCCTCGTCGCACTCCGTCCATAGCTAGTGATCGCACGAACTGGGCTTCTTATGGCGCCAACTCCTCACTCATCTGTGGCTCCTAAGACGGTCACTAGAAGGGTAAACTATAGCGGTTCTTCTTAACGTGAGCCGACAAGAACTTAACGCCTTCCGTGAATAGCACACGTCCATCCCCTAAGAGGTGGTCTGGGATACCCCTCGTCCTCGCCCGAGCGAACCTCGGATCTCAGAAGTCGGGCTGGCTCCACCACGACAGCATGGTATCCCCCCGCCTAAGGAGTCCACTCCGAGTCCTTAACATGGTCGGCCCCTAAGGCAACGAACCCCGACCTCGGACGCCTCCTAGGGAAAGGAAATGCACTTACCACAACAGACGGTCAGCCCCTTTCCGCCTGACGTCAAGAGCGAACCTAGACGAAGAAGGAGATCACAGAGAAAAAACTCATTCAGATGGACGGGCATAGACAAAGAGGATCATTCGGGAAAGAATGGGTAACCTCGGGAAAAATCATTGTCCAATTCACTTCTTCTCTTTTGTGTGATCGCTCCGTTCCTCGTCGTCTGCCGTCTTCCCACCCTTTCAACATGCATGCAAGCAAAAAATAGAAAACAATCATCATTCCATTCACTTTCACTGACATTATTAAACCTTCATTTTTCAAGCATCCTTCTACTTACCTTCACATCAAATTAAACAATAAGTTCAAAAGAAAACAATGCAGTCCCAAACTCATGTCAGACTTTCATTCACACGTGCGAACAAAACACAACTTCTTCTACCTTTTCAGTGAGCGTTCAAAGAACAGGGTCAAGCAAGTGTGGGTTCACACAGGCGTGAAGGGAAATCTGAGTCATTCAACTGACCTTGAGTGGCTCACTCAAGAAAACCGCGTAAGATCACGCTCCAGACGAGACAAACCTCACAACATCCGTCAACAAAGCGATCCACACCACTCCCTCAAATGGACCGCCCACTGACACACAATCCCCTCAGTGTCTCAACATCGTCCCCACTCGCGACCAGTACCACTATGCCACCACTGTGTCGAAGCGTCGCCGCCGCAATATGCGGACAGCACAACGTCAACACCACCTCAAAGCACACTCCCTCTCAATCACGCTCCTCAAAATTGTCATTGCCGCCGCGAAGACCGGACAGCATCTCCACACCACTGCTAAAAAATTGCTGCTGGCGCAAAATTTCGGCAGCACTTCCGTGTCACCGCTAAAAAAGTTCAGCGCTTCCGCGTCACCGCCAAAAAAACATAGCCGTCGCCGCAAAATTTCGGCAGCGCTTCCGCGTCACCGCCGAAAAAGCATAGCCGCCGCCGCAAAATTTCGGCAACGCTTCCCCGTCACCGCCGAAAAAGCATAGCCGCCGCCGCAAAATTTCGGCAGCGCTTCCGCACCACCTTCCAAAAAGAATAGCTGCCGCCGCAAAATTTCGGCAGCGCTTCCGCACTACCGCTGATAACCTTGTTGTCGTCGCCGTACAGAGCGAACAGCACCTCCCCGACGCTCAACCAAGTGCAGCGGCAGCTATGGCTGCCCTCACTCTCATGCTCCCCGCAGACCTCCAATACTTCTTTCTCTCTCCTTACCTCGCTGAGATGGCGGCTATGGATGTGGTCCACAGCTATGGCCACCTCCAGCAGTCCCCCCCTCTTTCTCTTGCAGACCTCCACTCAGCTCCCTCTCACTCCAGCAGTTCCTCCTCCAGCTGCCAGCACTCACTCAAGCGTAATGCCAGCAGCACCAGCCACAAATGAATGCTGGCTGGCTGGTTGCTGGCTTGTTTTATAGCTAGCTGGAGGCTGAGGGCAGCTTCTTTGCCCCCAGCCAAAACTCGGAGTGAGGCCTGGCCCTTTATCTCAGACGAGATCAAGGGTTCAAAAGCCTGTTGCTCCCCTAGGGGAATTGAGTTCAGGTCACTGGAAATGTATCTGGCCCTCACCCGCGGCCAGACGCAGCCCAGAAATAGCTGTACTTAGCCATTTCTGAGCAGACTCTTGAACCCAACAGTCTACTGTCAATTCACAGTCCAGATGCTTCTAAACTTGCATCTGGACCGAGGCCGCGGCTAAATCCGCGGCTGTTTTTTTTTTTTCCAACTTCTTTTTTTTTCTTTTTCCCCCTTGTTTTTCTAAGCAGGGGCAGCTCGTCGTTCGAAAAACGAACGAGCATGTCCCTCCCCCAAGTCATATCACAGAGTCGAACTAGAGTCAAGTTGAACACGGTCTTCTTTCCTACTGCCCCCACGCGCCCGTACCCGGACGCCTACGACGCCAGGTGCAGGCGGTGGTCTGCAGCCCGTTCACAACGAACAGATGCAGACCTTTGGCTGTAAGGCCAAACTGGGGCGGCGCATATTTCCATGTTCTAGTAGAAGATTCACTCGATTTGCTTGTCCTGCTAAAACTGTCGGGGCGCAGCCCCCTGATGAGTCGGTGGAAATCCGACGAAACAGTCTGGCGCAGTCAAACTTTTTTTTTTTTTTTTCTCTCTCTCTCTGAACACAGCCGCGTCTCTGCGGCAGATTCGGTCGGATTGACCGACTGTCGAGGCCCAGCCTCCTGATGAGTCGGTGAGACTCCGACGAAACAGTCGGTTCCGAATTGCCTGTCCGTTCAAAACGGACGGGCACTCACTAAAAACAAAAAAAAAAAAAAAAAA